GTCAAGAAATCATGGAAAGTAATGATTATTTAGATTTGGGGGGGTGGGGGAAGAGACAAATGTCTTGACTCTTTTTGTCCTTCAAACTACCATAAAGTTAAACTTGATTACTATTTCTTTGTGATGTTAGCTGCAAGCAAAAACAAACGAACAAACAAACAAAAAACAGCACCCAGCCCTTTATAGATTCTCTTTCTTTCAACAAAAAGTGAATCAAAAGAGTTGCTTTGATAAACAACCATTTATATTCAGGAAATGGCAGCATCTAGTTGACCTTGGCTGATCTTGAAAAACTAAGCAGGATCAGAAATGATATTTCTCAGATGGGAGGTCACCTAAAGGTCCCAGGTAGATTGGGAAGTTGAAAAATGCCCCTGGAAAAAAGCAATAAAAACATTTTGACGCAGCCGGTGGGTGGGGGAGATAGAAACACATGAATATGTCTATGAGGTCACCAGGAATTGAGCATAATATGAAAGTAACTCTTTTTTTTTTTTGATAACCAGTAATTCTAGTAGGAGAAAAGAAAGAGAATTAAAAACATTTTTGTACACTTTCCTAGTATTTGCTATTGTTTCTGCATTTCTTGCAAAACAAGTCTGACTAGGTGGCTCAGTGGCTAAGACACTGAGCTTGTTGATTAGAAAGGACAGCAGTTCGGCAGTTTGAATCCCTAGTACAGGTCTCCAGGGGGTTGGACTGGATAACCTCCAAGGTCCCTTCCAACTCTTTTACTGTTAAAAAGAAAACAAAAACCTACCAAAACCAGCCTGGGTGATCAGGTACACAACACAATAATGTCAACATGCCCAGTATTGAGTTCTGAATTACCGCAGTGAAAATAATCAAGAAAAATAGCAACTGAAGAACCTGTCTTTCTTTTGGAAGATTTATTGCCATTTTTCAGGAAAAAGCATTTCTAAAGCAACTTATATCAAAACAGTTTCTCTGTATCTTTATACGCATTGGAGACGAGTTTATTTTCTTACATATGATGATAAGTCTGGTAATGTCTAGAAGGAGTGCTCTGAATGTCAAAATATTGATGTGTTCAAGTATTTTGCTCTTTTTGCAATCAAATGTTTTTCAAGGCAGCTTACAAGCAACTGGTGGCAATTATACAACACAAGCCCAAATGCATATTCATGTTCTCGCTCTTTTTCTCGCACATATTCATTCAGCAATCTTTTATTAATAAGCACTTCTCCCTAGTAAAAGCTACTAAATGCTCCTTTGGGCTGATGTTGGAGTATTCTCGTGCCACAACAGCAGACAAAATTTCTGCCTATGGTGAATAACCTGCTGGGAACAGGTTGGCTAATTATGAAGAAATGACTATTCTCTTTGAAGAGTTTTTTTTTTTTTAAATGAATCATCCCAGATGGTGTTAGTCAACGAAACTGGAAGATGGTGCAGGACTAACATTCAAAGGGAATAAATTGCTTTTTAAATGGTCTGGTCAACGCACAATGGTATTTGTATGTTGTCCTATTAAGGTATCAGTGGCAACATTTCTTTGTAGTAATACCATATGTCTTTCTGTCCTGGCTTTGGTGATTAGGAAGCATAATGCAGTGGAAGTTCTTCTTGCTTTGGGGTTGATCCCAGCTGATGTTAGCATGGGAAGGACCTATTTCTTTTGGCTCCTCCCTCAATTCCTATTTAACTAATATGTGAAACCTCCAGCATTCTCTCCAACGTTTAAATGTTTAACTGTTTATTTTTTTATAAAGATTTAACGGACTTTTTTTTTTTACCTGTAAACTGCCCACTATCATGTAGAGGTGAGATATGTGGTTTATAAATATGATTAATTAATAAATAAACCACTGGTATGATTAGTATGAAATCAGATATCATCAATTTACAAATGATTTGCTTTTATACTCTCCCCCCCCCCCCATGTGAGCCAAGGGATGTCATCAAAATGCTTTCTCAGTATCTGGAGGTTAGGTTAGGATGGGAAAGAATAGGTTTTGATTTAACCCAAAGCAAAACAGAGCAATTATGGGTTTAGGAATCTCCCAAGTCTGGAGATTCTCCATCTTTAAATTTGGATGGGGTTGAAGTCCCCTAGATAAAAAGGATGAAGAGTTTGGAGGTTCTCTTAGACTCTCACTCTTGTTGAAAGAGCAAGTGGAAACCATGGCCATGAGGGCTTTCCCCCCAAATTCTTTTTCTCTCATTGCACCAGTACATAGGTCAGGAGGTCTTGCCTACCCTGTTTCCCCAAAAATAAGACATTCCCTGATAATAAGCCCAATTGGGCTTTTGAGCACATGCACTAAAATAAGCCCCCCCCCCGAAAATAAGCCCTTTCCGAAAAATTTTAAATGCAGAGCTGGAAATCAGGTAAGACGGCAAGAGGAGCCCCATCTTGCTCCATGTGCCCCAAAATAATAAGACCTCCCCGAAAATAAGGCCAGGCGCTTATTTCGGGGTTCAAAAAATATAAGTCAGGGTCTTATTTTCGGGGAAACACGGTATGGTTACTCATGGCTTGGTAACCTCCTGTTTGGACTACTGTAATACTACATGGGACTGCCCTTGGACCATCCAGATGCTTCAATTAATCCAGAATGCAATGGAATAGGTAGTTATGGATATAACATGCTATGCCATCTGTGTTTGCTATGCATGACTGAAGGGAGAAGGCTGCATTTCAGAGATCTTATCAGTACATATTTTATGTGCTGTTGGGAGATGGATTTTGGGTAAAGTATTAATAGAACTCCAGGGCTTATCACTCTGGTCTAAGGATGTGACCAGAAAAAAAACATTTCAATACATAAATACATACATACATACATACACACACATACCATGTTTCCCCGAAAATATGACCCTGTCTTATATCAGTACGGTATAGCTTTTATAAAATTATTTGTATTGTTTAGCTGTGTTTGTGTGTGTTAGGTTTGATACATCAACATTCCAAATACACATACAGCATTCACAGTTAATTCCTAAGTTGGGGATTTTGGGCATGACTACAGATGATGGGTATTAAGGAAGAATAAGTGTTTAAATTAACCCCTACACCATGATGGATGCTATGCAGTTTCTACTTGAACACATCTAAACTCCCACTTCTCTGTGTAATTAGTTCCATGGTTGAACCATTAATTAAATAGATTTTAATTGAACCATTGTTTCTATTATCTCTCCCACTGCTAAATGAATCCAGTAAAGCTAGAAAGTTTGTGTTACAGTTAGCTTATATATTTTTAAGGATAACCACTGCTATATGCCTCTGTCATGATGATAGAAAAAGGATGACATGTACTTTATCCTTGAGTCCTGACATCTAATGTAAATATATAAGTTATAGTATTTGTGTTATGATGCTGTGGTGCAAGTTTTGTGGTGTCTCTTGTAGAACTCTATAATTATTGTGTTTAACTTCTATATATATTTTGTCTATTATCATAGAATATGTTTACCTGTATTATTTTTGAATCTTATCTTTTTCTTTACACACACACACACACACACACACACAATCTTGAAGCAAGTACTTTGTGCCTTGAATAATTCTCATAATAAAACTGCAATAAATCTGAAACCTAGCACAAGACTCCTTTCTTTTCTTGTGCCTTTTCTATTGACAAATAGAAGTGGGATTTGAAGAAGGAAGCTGAAATAGAGCTGATAAGATAGCTTTTCTGATATTCTCCAGGGTGGGGATGGGGAGAGAGATCAGAAAGATAATGCATTATTCCTTTTGCAGCATGGTTGAGATGACCAGAGTTTGGATATTACTAGATGAAGAAGACTATACAGTATGAATATGAGGTGTACATCTCTGTTGATGTACTCATAGAGTCAAATAGAGACTGCTTGTTTCCTTTTCCCTATGTGAGATAAAATTAGATTTGAGGGGGACCAATGTCATCAAGAGATTGCTATTACCACTAGGTCAGGGTGCAAGAATGAAGAAAATGTGGAAACGCATGTATTTGAGATAAATCCCTTTCAAATGAGCCCTTAAAATCTATTGATAGATCTCTTGCAGGTTGTCACATTTTAAACATTTTATTGTGAACCTCCTCTCCCACATTGATTCATAAATACACAAGACCAAGGTACAAAAGCTCCACTTGACATCAAAACTAGTTTTACAAAATGACCAATGTTTGTAGCATTACAATATGAAATTCTCAAATCCTAACAAATGAAGCCAACTATCCTGATTTGCATTCAGGCTCCCATTGATTGCTATTGTCTGTTTCAAAAATGTGGATTCCTCACGAAGAAGTGTATAATGAACCTAATGGCACTGGTTTTGTGGAAGTTTATGCAGAGTTTGTCAGTGTGGGTTGTACTATAGTGTGGTCAAAGCATATAATAATTAGAGCCAATTGAGCCTATAGTTAGCTTCTAGTAGTTTACTCCAATAGTAAACGTGGTGGCTGCATTAGGGATGTGGTAGCTCAGTGGCTAAGATGCTGAGCTTGTTGATCGAAAGGTCAGCAGTTCAGCGGTTCGAATCCCTAGTGCCATGTATCGGGGTGAGCTCCCGTCACTTGTCCCAGCTTCTGCCAACCTAGCAGTTCGAAAGCATGTAAAAAATGCAAGTAGAAAAATAGGGACCACCTTTGGTGGGAAGGTAACAGTGTTCCATGCGCCTTTGGTGTTAGTCATGCCAGCCACATGACCATGGAGATGTCTTCGGACAGCGCTGGCTCTTCAGCTTTGAAATGGAGGTGAGCACCGCCCCCTAAGGTTGGGAACAACTAGCACATATGTGCGGGGGGAACCTTTACCTTTACCTAGTTTACTCCAACTTTATTTCGGAGCAAATTCCAGTAGGTTTGATGGGATAATTTTGAGTAAACCTCCATATATTTGGCTATAAGGAAAGAGATTATCGCACTAACAAAGATCATACTCTAGAACTGACCATCTCTTCTTACACTGTTAGCCTTGGATGATGTTATTTGGAGGGAAGAGTAGGAATGTTACAATAATTAGAGCTCCCCAACTATTCAATTACAAACCTGGTTCTTTTCACAGCATCCAAAGTTACTGGTTCTTTCAAGTAAGCTTCTTAGCTGGAGATGTTGTTAATGCCTTATAAATTGTCCTGGAGAAATCTCAGAATAGGTAGTCTGTCAAGATTCCTCTTACCAAGTGGGGTAGCCCTGCAGACAATGGGGATGAAGCCCAAACTCTTTTGCCCAATCTGGGGTCCCTCCAAATGGGTGGGATTTCAACTCCCCAAATGGGTGGGATTTCAACTCCCCAAATGCTTAGCAATGGCTATGCTAAAGGCATAAGTGTCAGTTCAAGCATTGTGACATTATGATGCAAGCATTGCCTCATCGTACATGCATTATAACATCATACTTAGTGGGCAGGATGTATTTGCCACTTGTCACCTTGCACCCATGGATACTTAAAGCTAGCTGGGGAATTCTGGGAGTTGAAGTCTACTCATCAGGTTGGTAATATTCAGCAAGGCCAGTTCCCAATATTTGATAAGTTCCCTGATTTTCTTGACTGCATTATTTTGGGGGACGGGAAGGACATTTTGGTTTCAGGAGAATAGTAGGGAATTATTTTTTTCTTATCAGACATTTGTTCTGTGTTTCAGATTTGCAATGTGTACTTTGCATTTTTCAAGTCATGGTAAATATCTGTAAGAAAGAAAAGATGAGTACTGTGTATGCACCATACATAAAATGCACAATGTTTGGGCATCTTCCAGCTTTCCCAGTTTTTTTCTGTGAATTATATCTATCCAGGAATATATTTTCAGTTCTCCCTATTATGTACATGTGTGCTAACTGATCTCTATGGCTTTTCTTTCTATCTGGATACCACAAGCATAATTGACCACCTTCTACTCAGCACTTGAATTACAGGAAGGCAGAAAGGCCTTTCCTTTTTAACCGTTTTGAAGCAAACCAGCTTCAGGTTTTAGAAAGCTCTGAAAAACGATAGGGCATCTCAAAAAACTATTGTTCAGAAGGCAATATGAAGTTCATTAATTCTAAAGTAACAATGGGATCCTTATCTACTTATGTAGCTTGTTAGATCACTTTAAACAAGAGTCACATCAAAGTTATGATAGAATAGTGTTAGGCAGCCAATTTAAATTTAAATAAATAAATACATACATACATAAAAATAAAAAGATGACCATAATAATGAAAAAACCCAGTGTTTTCCAAATATAGGGGGGTCTGTTTTCTTTTTCCCTAATGTAAATACAAGTTAAATAGATTTGAGAAATGGGAAGAAGCTGACTGAGAGAAATTATAGCAGCTGTATCAAGCCTGTAGTAGGAATAAAAACATTTTATCCATACATCTATAAACATCAATAGGCTACAAGATTTCTGCAAGAAAGGGATATTACTGATACTATAAAGGGATACTATTACAAAGAAAAGAGCAGAAATTTTACAGAAAATTTGACTAATTTCAGCCATCCCAGAGTCCAGTTTAAGGGACCTTATCACAGTATTGGAATTGCTTGGGTAGGTTCTGATAATATAAGGAACATTTTGAAGCCCATTGATCCGTAACAATTGGCTGATCATAAAAGGTTCCTTGCCTTTCTTTGTCTTACACATGGAGTGAACAAGCATGTTGTTTGCCTCTGTCCTGACACGAAGTAATGGGGATTTTGATGAGAGTCAAGAAAGAATCTTAGATTTCGGAATAATCCCATTCCCCGCCCCCCATCATTTTCTGATTTCCAGCCTAGATATACAGTAAATATAATTTCAAACCAGAGAAACTGAGTCACAACAAAGTGGAATAACAGTGATAAAGCTGGTTGTGCTCCAGTGTTTTGCTTTCTGGAGCATTTCAGGGGTCTTGTTCAGTCTGTGCTCTGCTGGACAGCAACTTTCCTGGTAAATGTTGACACATTGAAAAAAGAAGAAAAGAAAGCAAAGCTGTGAGTGAATGAGGCTATGGAATCTTGGCTGTGAGACTAACATCTGTCAAGATTTCATTTTAGTCTAATGCAGTCCACCTCCTCAGTTATGGGCATTGCGCTGGTTCTGATGTCCATATCTACACTAGCCTTGGATCCATAGTAGGTGGACCTCCACCTAAGCAGCATAATCTTCTTGAAGTATTTCATGGTGGTGTTCTTGACTGTCACAAAGCACATGGTATTTATCATGCTATTGCTCATGGCGATGCATTCCACTATGTAGAAAGCTGTCAAGTAATGCTTTTCCTTCACAAAGACAGTGGGGAAGAAGTCACGGACGATTGTGAAGCCATAGAAGGGTGACCAGCAGAGAACATAGGCAGTTAGGATGCACATGAGCACCAGCACAGTTTTCCTTCTGCAACGAAGCCTTTTTCTGATCTGCTCCGTCTGGAAGCCTGGCACAGTTTTAAACCAAAGCTCCTGTGAAATCCTGGCATAGCAAAGGGTCATGGTGAAGACTGGTCCAACAAATTCGACACCAAAGATGAAAAGAAAATAGGATTTATAATACATCTGCTGATCGACTGGCCAAATCTGTCCACAGAAAAACTTCTTTTGGTTTTTTATCATGAATAGTTCAGTCTCGGTTGCAAAATAGGCTGATGGTATTGCAATGATCAGGGAGACGATCCACACCAAAGCAATTAGACAAGTTGCTGTTTGGTAATTCATCCGAGGTTTCAATGGGTGAACAATGGCAAGGTACCTACAAAATACAGAAGTTTCCAAATTTGTATTAGAAAAGAGCCACTTGTTTTTATTGCTTCAAAGCATCTTAAGATAATTAACTAAAATGGCCATTTGTTTTATTGGCTGCCGAGCTGCTCTTATTCCAATATTTAAGAAATGAAATTGTAGACACTGTATTATTGATATAATGCTACTAATTCTAACCGAGAAATTGGGAAAACAATTTCTGTATTTCATTATCCTGCATTTCAAGCCCTAGTACAATTTTTTTCTTTTCAACTGGGGAATACAGCTCCCATCATCATCATTGCTCTGTAGACTCCAAATATAGCTTTCCCTACTTCGCATACCCCAGTCTGTTGGGCTACTACACCCACCATTCCTTGACAAAATAGAGTTTGGTTAACTATAGTTTATCCCAGTGCGAACTGGTAGTGCCGGTGGCGGGAGGCTCTGCCCACCTGCTGGGATGTCATTATGTCCCATTTTTGATCCTCTGCGCATGTGCAGAAGGCTCTCTGCATGCGCAGAAGAGGTGTGCGCTCTCACACTCCCGAACCTGTAGTGAAGGTAAGTGCATTTCACCGCTGATGAAAAGCGGGCCACATCTGCAGGCCACCAAGAAAAGAGACATTGTCCTAATATTTGATCAAAAGACCTCTTCCACTAATGTTAAAACATAGCATCCAATAATAAATCACTCCTAGAGATACATAGGAAGGGACATGATAACTCCAGAAAAAATAGCAAGATACCACTTGTTCAAAGGAATCTGGGACCATTCTTCTGTAATTTCTTCAGATTTCAGATAAACTTTCAGACACTGGTCACAATCATACCCAGTGCCTGTTCTCCCCTGCCTTTAATTTCAGAGAATTAGGGAGGGTTAATTCTGAGATGCTTTCTCTATCCCCATTTGTCCTTTGGACTATAGGCTATGGCACTTTGTTCTGACTCCTAAGATTATTCCGACAGCTCTTTATACTTTACAGCCGTGTACAACATAAACATCCATATGTTGATTTTGTAATATATGATTTATGATTTTATGTATGTGTGGATCATGGGTTATTTATAGTGCCATGGCTTAGTGTGATGTGCAAAGCCAGAATCTGCACACTTTGGGTGACTGACAGTGTGAGAGTTATGGCTCTGTCTGAAGAGGTCTGGATTTGCATTGGGGAGACTATACAATTTGTTTCATCAAGTTTCAGAGGCAATGTGGTTTCCCTCAATGAGCCACTTTGTGTCACCTTGAAGACTTGGACAGCAGTTCTGATAGTGCCAATAAAGGATAATATTTGTAGCTCAGGGTTGACATGAGGGGTCCTTGGTGCTCTCTGAACTTGGTTGATGATGTTACCTAGTTTGGGTAATAAAACAACTGCAAGGAAACAACCAAGCTCAGAGAGCACCAAGGACCTCTCAGTTCTAATAGTATGAAGAGGTTTCTGAGCCTGATCAGGAAGACTCTTCCAACAATGGAAAACTATTTGGAATAGTTAGGGAAGGCATCAGAAATAATGCAATTGCTTCACTTTTAATATGTGGGGTTTGTGTATGTGGGATGACGGTGGAAATTGTCATAGCTCTTCTTCAGTTAGGTGATTGGACTGAAGTTTTGCATAGCTCTAGGGAATTAAAAGGGACATGGTGGCTCAGTGGCTAAGATGCTGAGCTTGTCAATCGAAAGGTTGGCAGTTCAGTGGTTTTAATCCCTAGTGCCGCGTAACGGGGTGAGCTCCTGTTACTTGTCCTAGCTTCTGCCAACCTAGCAGTTTGAAAGCATGTAAAAAATGCAAGTAGAAAAATAGGGACCACCTTTGGTGGGAAGGTAACAGCGTTCCGTGCGCCTTTGGTGTTTAGTCATGCCAGCCACATGACCACCGAGATGTCTTCGTATAGCATTGGCTCTTCAGCTTTGAAATGGAGATGAGCACTGCCCCCTAGAGTTGGGAACGACTAGCACATATGCGTGAGGGGACCTTTACCTTTACCTTTAGGGAATTATTGATCAATGTTCACAGCATCATACTATTAGCTCTTCAAGGAATATCAGAATGTACTAACACCTTCTTTAGATTTTTTAAAAAACTCATTTTGTACACTGAGATGAGTTTCTCTTCACATCTTTTCTTTCTACATGACAGTGACATTCTCCAAAGTCAGGCTGTACAATAAAAAAGAAAATCAAATCTTGTCTTTCCTTTGTCACCAAATCTTTTCTGCTGTAGTGTAATATTTTCCATTTCACTGCTCTCAAATACTTTCTATTTGACCTTAGCTGAGCAGGTGGTTCCCATTTTTTGTACATCAGATCCAACATCTCAGATGGTGATACAGGTACTATCAAATAACTGTGTAAAAAAATTATTCCTGGTACATCACGGAGTAAACTATTTGAAGGGAGTATACACTTATTTATAGGTTTCCCTACACATTGCTATTAATCTGGCACATTTAAAAATGTAAATATTTAGAGAACCCCATGGTGCATCATATAGTTTCATATATAAGATTGGTATCTCTAGGGCAGATCCATATTTTAAAAAGAAATGACAAATTCCAATTCTTCCACATTTTTAGCCTATTCTGCAAAGATATCACATCAGTATAAAGGTAAAGGTTCCCCTCACACATATGTGCTAGTCGTTCCCGACTCTAGGGGGCAGTGCTCATCTCCTTTTCAAAGGCGAGGCACCAGCGCTTTCTGAAGACGTCTCCATGGTCACGTGGCCGGCATGACTAAATGCCAAAGGCGCACAGAAGGCTGTTTCCTTCCCACCAAAAGTGGTCCCTATTTTTCTACTTGCATTTTTTATGTGCTTTCGAACTGCTAGGTTAGCAGAAGCTAGGACAAGTAACAGGAGCTCACCATTATGCGGCACTAGGGATTCGAACCACTGAACTGCCGACCTTTCAATCCACAAGCTCAGCATCTTACCCACTGAGCCACCATATCCCCTCACATCAGTATAATTGTCTATAAAAACAGATATGCTGATGAATGTATCAATGTATATTTGAAACATGCCATTAGTTGTTGAATATGTCAATGGCCACTGAAAATTGATGTCATAAACATCCTTAGCTCATTCCAAGATTAAGCTGTTATACAAGATAGAAATAATGCTTGAACAGAAAGGATTGCTATCTTTATAGGATGTCTGATTTGGTTCTGCAACCCAACAAGACAGACACAGACTCCAGAGGATAATTAGAACTGCAGAAAAAACAATTACTACCAAGCTGCCTTCCATTGAGGACCTGTATAGTGCACGAGTCAAAAAGAGGGCTGTGAAAATATTTACAGACCCCTCACATCCTGGACATAAACTGTTTCAATTCCTACCCTCAAAATGACGCTATAGAGCACTGCACACCAGAACTACTAGACATAAGAATAGTTTCCCCCCGAACACCATCACTCTGCTAAACAAATAATTCCCTCAACCCTGTCAAACTATTTACTAAGTCTGCACTACTATTAATCTTCTCATTGTTCCTATCTCCTATCTCCTCCCACTTATGACTGTATGACTGTAACCTTGTTGCTGGTATCCTTAAGATTTATATTGACTGTTTCCTAATATGATTTGATTGTTTATTTATTCCCTATGACTATCATTAAGTATTGTACCTTATGATTCTTGACAAATGTATCTTTTCTTTTATGTAAACTGAGAGCATATGCACCAAGACAAATTCCTTGTGTGTCCAATCACACTTGGCCAATAAAGAATTCTATTCTATTCTATTCTATTCTATTCTATTCTATTCTATTCTATCCTCTGGGCAAACTTTCCACAATTTGGTATTCTCTCCAAATGAGTTGGATTATAACCCCATTATCCCCAGCAACCCCATTATCCCCAGCAACCCCATTATCCCCAGCTACAGATCGCATGTCAGAAAGCAGTACAGATAGTCCTTGACTTACAACAGTTCGTTTAGTGACTGTTTGAAGTTACAACGGCGCTGAAAAAAGTGACAATTTTTCACACTTATGACTGTTGCAGTGTCCCCATGATCATGTGATTTACATTTGGATGCTTGACAACTGGTTCATATTTATGACCATTGCTGTGTCCTGGTGTCACATGATCCCCTTTTGCAACCTTCTGACAAACAAAGTCAATGGGGAAGCCAGATTCACTTAACCGTTAGTAACCGTGTTACTAACTTAACAGTGATTCACTTAACAAATGTGGCAAGAAAAGTCATAAAATGGACAAAAACTCCTTTAGCAAATTTCTCACTTAACAACGTAAATTTTGGGCTCAGTTGTGATTGTAAATTGAGGACTACCTGTCCTAGTTAAGGAGATGAGGATTGTAGTTTTGCAATCTGAAGGAAAGCTGCTACCAAGAACATTTTTCACACACGTATCTAACTGACACTAAGAGTTGCTGCTAATAGAGTATCTATACCTATTTTATCCAAACTTTGCCATTTTCAAATGCAAAAAGAATCCCATGAATTACTTTGGGGTTCTTTTTAAATCTTTTTAAAAAGCCTGCAGATTTACATAATTGCTTTAATGTAGGATTGTTGCCTGAAACAATAGATTCTCTTGTGGAGGGGAAATTGAGCAATCTTTGTTCATGATTAGTGTTTCATTGCAGCCTCCTTAATAATTACACTGGAAAGTTATTCCTTTCAGCCTTGCCTGTGTTCCATATCTGAACGCTGTTCAAATCCTTCGATATATTTCAAAACCTGATGTTTGAAATGCAATAAATGGTTTGGGGGGATCGAGTCCCACTAGGACAAACAAAGCAACGGCATTTTGATTTATATCTGAGATGTGTACAACATGCTGTTTCAGTCTAAGCATTCTAAAACTGCAAAAATGAGATCTGATTTCTGCTGGTTAGTGGTCAATTGGGAAAACACAATTCTCAGAAGCGTTTTGCTTTCATTTTGCAAATTGCCTTCTTCTGCAAATGACAATAATTATCAGCATGTGAAACAAACGAAGAGCTGGGTTTTTGAAAACAAAATGCTTATTACTTTGGAACCATTTGCAGCAACCACAGTATTCTTCCCTTCTTCATAACCACTTCTAAAAGAGCAGAAATCCATCACCTATCATTAATGTAGTAATGCAGGATCACTGGAATTCCAGAGGCGAGTAACCTTAGAAAAGCCATCAATGTCACTCTCAGAAAGCCAGAAGAGACTATCCCAAGCAGAAGTATAAGTGGAAGATTTCTGCCCAAACCTGGGGTGGTAATGGCGGTTGATTGCTAAATTGCAGGGCTGTGACCCCACTTTCAATCTGCACACAGCTCTGCCAAGACCTAGCAAGCTTTGTCAGATATTCCCCCAGCAGCTTTTTATTATAACTCTCTGCTTTTGATGTCAAATGATAACTGTGATTTATCTTTCAGTGCAATGATGGTGAAGGGCTCTGAAATGGAAGAAGGCTTCCAATAAATCATACTTTTTTTAAAAAAAAGAAAAGAAGAATAGGGAAATTAATTGCAAAAACAATAGATACAGCAATTCCTGGCTCCAGTCAACCCTAGTTTCCCAATAGTCCCCTTACCTGTCCATAGCAATGGCCAAGAGTGCATTAGTTGAAACATAGAGGGAAACGGTGCGCAAATAATTGATGGATGCACAGAGGATGTGGCCATGCTCCCAGGATAGTTGGCGCACCACATAATAGTCCATCTCAAATGGACAGCAAACAATGGCCACAATGAAGTCTGAGATAGCCAGGTTTGCAATGAGAAGATTGGTGAGATTCCGCAGCTTCTTATAACGGATGAGAGCAGCAATGAAAATGAAGTTGCCAATACCGCAAACCAACATGATGCCAGCCAGTGCCACACCAATGACAATTTTGGCAGCGAAGAAAGTGCGAGTCTTGGTCACATCATCATCATCATCCAAGAGCAGATCATAGTCACTGTAGCTGAAATTGAAAGGGAAGGTGAAGTTTTGATAAGCAGGGAAGTCTCCAATGTGGTTGCCATAGATAGCAGCAAAGCTGGTATGTGGGTATGTGCTATTGGGATGATGTGCTTCCTGCTTCATGGTGTTGTTTTTGTCTCTTTACTTCAGTGATGCTTTATTGAACTTTATCTTTTTACCACCATCCATGGGAGAAATCTCACTGTTCTGTAAGTCATGTTCTCAACATCTTCAACGGCAGCAGTATCATTTCTTACCTTTCAAGACAGGAAAGAAGTAAACCCACTTAGAGAAAGGCTAACATACAGTTCTCTCCCCCAAAACGTATCTTGAGGCATGCCAAAAGATTGGGAAGGACAGTCACAAATCTTTTTTTCTAAGATCCGTTCCCACTTCTTTATGGTCAGATAAAACAAGGTCCGTTTTGTCAAATCCACATGAGGGGCTTTTTCAGGTAGTTACATTTTATCAGAATATTTTCCGCACAAAGACAGAGCTCACTGATTGACAGTGAGGAGAGGGAAGAAATAAAGTTAAATTTCCTTCAGCCTTCTGCAATCTTTGAAAGGCTCCTAGAGAAACAAAATTGCCACTCTTGCATTTTAGCAACCCAAGTAATTAAATTGAGTGTGATGAGTTTCATGCCAGCCAGATTTTCTTTTGCAAGTAGATAATTCCAGTACCAGTTTAAATTTCTCAACCTTTTGTTGAAGTCAACAAAACAGATTGATTGGTTGATTCCTGACATGAATAAACTACCTTAACCTCAGAGGCTCAATAAATCTTTCCAAATACAGAAAAGTAAAGGGAAGTTGGAGAATCTTACTGTGCAATGGAATCAATGATTCCATCCTGTAGGGACAAGGGAATGAAATTCTTCAGCTGCTTGGAGATACTATGATTATATAAATCAAGAATTGCTATCCAAAGTTTTAGGTAAGGTTCTCTGATGCCCTGATCTGAGTTCTGGCCATGAAGGGTTTTCCACTTTCATGAGTAAGGAGGATTTTCAACACTGAGTCTCTCAAATATATATTGTGCCATCTATATTGGACCATTCAAGTGAATCGAGTGATTTGTGGGGGCAATAAGCTGACTTTGTATAAAATAGAGCACCGCTTAGGGGGGCCCAAAAAGCCCTACTAAGCAGGTATATACAAAAGTATGAAGGCTATTACTTAATGCATTGTAAGCCACCCTGAGTCTCCGGAGAAGGGCGGTATATAAATCGAACTAATAAATAAATAAATAAATAAATAAATAAATAAATAAATAAATAAATAAATCTATAAACTGGACTCATAGAGCTAACTGAATTTCAAACTTCACCACTGTTTTGGATCTGTAGTTTGCTCATTTACCTGGACCACTTTCCTCTTTTATATAAGGAAAAATGCTTTGCAAAAATAGGACTTGGTTGGTTCATTATAACAAAATCAGCAGTGCAATGGCTGCTTAAATAGCCTCTGGACTCCAGGGGAAAGGATGTGGTTAATCCAATCTGTCTGTTCTGGTTAGAAATGGTGCAAGGAAAAAGAGGGGTTGAAAACAAGAGGAATTTTATATAACCTTTCATAAATGACATTATCTTATGTAGTCTCATGTTTTGTTTCCATTACTGGAAGGAAGACTCATATGTAAATTTGCAAGATCAGAATGTATATTTTACATATAATTATGTAACTACCCAAGTGGAGCAATTGGATTCCAAATGCTGCAAAACAGTTAGATTTATTTTGCATGGTGGAGATGTCAAGCAGCGTCCGGTATTTTGTCTGGGTAGTAAAGAAGATTCTGCTTATGCTGATCAAACATCAGTCATCATAAATTGGAGCAGCCTATATATTCCATCATAAACAATCACACAACCAAATAAACAATTAAGCATAATTTTCAAACAATACATTGGGATTCTCAGGGCAATGAGCAGCCAGATTTTGCCATAAGAAACATCTCTGGGAAAGTTCAGCTGCTTATCATGTTTCATGTGTAGTAGGAATGTGTGATGCAAATGAAGAGGGAAAACATTTCACCTAAATCCGTCTAAAGAAAAAGGTAAAAAATGCAGACTTGTTAAAGGCTTCATGAGGCATTAGGTGGTTGCCAGGTCAAATCTTTGTTACTCTTCCGTTGGCATTCACATAATTTTTGTGTGAAATTTAAGAGAAAAAAGTCTAACAGCACCATGTGTATCAGACTTATTCAGAACTAAGTTTCACTGACTGTCAGTGTTTCCAACAATTCCACCCCAAAGAAACCGCCTTAGGAATAAAGTGTAAATTTCTAGAAATTAATCGTTATAATATCTGAGAAGAGTGCAATGTTGAACTATTTTCTCTCTGTGGCAGAAAAAAAAAAGAACAGAAAAATCAGTCTATGCCTTGACTGTAAACAAAGATATAATCAAAACAAACTAGTAAATTGTACATACTGTTATTGCTGATAAAAACAAAGCCACTTAAAAATAAATATATCAGACTGTACCTGTTCTAGGGCTTGTACTTAGGATAAATTCTGATTTCTTCATATGCTGTAATCCCAAGAATACTTGGAGAGTCTTGAAAATCACTGCAGAGTTAATGAAATTGAAGAATGCTGTCTGGTTCTAGAAGTGAAATTGCAGAATGCAGGTCTTCTTTAGAGCTGAGCAAGAACAGAAGTCCGGCTCTCTGTGTGTCTGCATCTAAAGTCTATCCTCAGTAGGTGGCATCTTTATGCATATGTAATTTTAAAGAGGCAGTACTCAGTATGTCATATTCTGATACACATGTGATGTGTATGTTAAGAATCCATGTGTGTATTTTGCCCAGCCTTCAAGAAAATGGATTTTATTTTTACACCTTTGAGTTTGTCAAGGGGAATTATCTTAGAAGGCTTGTCCTTGTGATCTACTTAGATCACTTGACAACCAGAGAAATCCTCTCTTTTTCCTTCTCCTCTCCAAAAGGAATTGTGCTTTTTTGCTGAAAATCTAAACGTAGTATGATTTTCCATACAATGTGCTTTTCTTGACAGAAGTTTCAATTACTGAAATTGTTTTAGGCAGTTAGTGCCGTTTCAAAGGTTTCTGGAAGTTGGTCATCCCCTGGACCTGATGTGATTGAATTTACTGCATGAAAGCTGCCTTCTCAACTTCTAACTGAATAAATAAATAGTGGGATAAGAGATAAGTGCACATAGAAACAGTCCATCCAGTCCAAAGCCTTTTAAAATACCATTGAGTGGTTGCAGTTAATGGTGTCATTTCCCCAAATTTTGCTTTTTCATGTCCATCATTTTACAGTACTTTGTCCCCTTTGTGTAGATTAAATATTTAATTAATGTACTCAGACATCCTGGCACTGATAATTATATCTATCAGTTCATTAAATCTAAGTCACAAATCCTATGTCATGATTGATTTTAAAACAACATGACTATGCACTGAATGAAAAAGTATTTAGGGCTCCTTGTGGAATTCGTGGTGCCTCAAAGGCACCATTAAAACCATTTGTAAAAAATGTAAAGCCCAGAAATCTTTTTCCTCTTTAAATTAAAATCTGAGACAGAAACAGATTATAAATTTCACTGTCCCCTCTCTGATCTCTCAAACTCCCAAATTTTAGCACCCTGCCTTAAGATTTGAGTTCCATTCTTTTGTAAGCATGCAACAGAAGTGAGGGAAAAAAACCTTATAGTTAGTCCACTGGCCTTTAACTGTACATAGAAACACTTGTGGGTCCTCTGACCCCAAGAATCTTACTATAGAGCAATGGACTATTTGGAGCTCTGTTGGTCATCTGACCACATCATAGAAGTGACAGTTTCATTGCCCAAACTGACTGATCTATCTAAGCTGTTTGTATGCATGTTTGAGTTGCTTTTGTTGTTATTCTCATATTTAGATTCAGTCTTTTCTTCAGGAGCTCAACGTGGCTTATATATGGTACCTCCTTTTGCCATAATTGCATCATCCCTATCTTATGAGGAAATTAGGTTGAGAATCAATGATAGTCCTAAAGTCACACAGTGACTTGTTTGATGATGAATTCTACATCTTAATCCAACAGATTAACCCCTATACTACGCTAGAACTTCTCAAGTGCTAATTATTACGGTAAGAGAAATTTCTAGTACCTATTGTAAGTTCAGGTTCTAACTACATATTTACTTGAAAGGTGAAATCTTTTCACTTTAAAAATGCAGGAGCCCTGATGACGCAGTGGTTAAGTGTAGTATTTCAGGCAAACTCTGCCCATGGCCTGGAGTTCGATTCTGACGGGGCTCAGAGTTGACTTAGCCTTCCATCTATCTGAGGTGAGTAAAATGAGGACCCAGATTGTTGGGAGCAATATGCAAATAATGCGGACATTGTAAACTGCTCAGAGAGTGCTACAGGGCAGTATATAAATCTAAATGCTATTACTATTACTAAAATTCACATTAATTCACCAATAAGCAGTACACTTAAAGCAACAGAATAGAAATATTAAAATATCAAGAAAGCAGTGACTCACAATTGATACCAACCTTAAACTCAATAATCACAATTACAGATGCTCTCTGACAGGATTTGCTTTGACGTAGAGTATGAGTGCCCATTGAATCTCCCATGGGAGCTATTCCACATGTGGGGATCAGTATAAAAAACCCCCTTCATTTGGGCTTACTCTCACCTACCCTCACTTATGTGGGAAATCTTACCTATGTAGGTGGTCATTAGCCCTGCAATATTTTTTGCTGAATTGAGTAGCCCCTCTTCTTCTTATCATCATCCTTCCTGCTGCAGACAGTTGTGTGGTACATGGGGAAGCCAAATGATTTACAAGGGTCTTTGACATAAGTTGACCGGACACAGCTTTTATTAAAGAGGAGCTGATGCTGCTGAAGGGGAGAGATCCCTTCTGTGTCATGGAAAGCAAAACATGAAGGAGAGGCCTGAAAGAATGGTGGTGATTTTTTGCCTCTCCAGTTTATCGCAAGCAATTCTCTTCCTCAAATACAGAATGCCCCCTCCCCCCTTCTAGGGAATTTACAAAGAATGAAAAGCTTTCCCATGAAGCTTTCCTCATTTCAGAAAACATGGATTCCTTGAAGATGAGACCCCCAGCAACGGAAATGGGGAAGGAGATGCTCATCCCCACTGCTTTAATGACTTTGAATCCTTTTGAGTCCAGACCTCAGTCGCCTTTCTTGTCAATTTACATCTTTCATGTCTCTGATTTCCATTCAGGTTTTCCCTCCATATTTCTCTTTCCTTCCCTTTATATGCAGGTGGGTGGTCCGTTAATCCTACAAATGGGGGACATTTTACACAAATCATTTTAATCTTTCATTCTTTTGCTGCTGTTGTTCTGGCTCTGTTTTTTTTCTTTTCAGAAAGATTCTGACCAATCAGAATACATGTATGCAGTGGTGGGATTCAGCCAGTTCGCACCACTTCGGGAGAACCGGTTGTTAACTTTCTGAGCAGTTTGGTGAACTGGTTGTTGGAAGAAATCATTAGGGCAGAGAACCGGTTGTTAAATTATTTGAATCTCACCACTGCATGTATGTGTGTATGTATACATGTACATACAAACACACACACACACACACACACACATTTGTATGTGCAAACATATGCAAGTAAGACACATTCACATTTATCAGGTGGATTTACAAGACGGGTTTCAGTTGTCATTAGCAACCATAGACAAAATGACAGGTATGTCATTGTGACGGTTATGTAGTTGTGACAGGTATGACAGTTGTATAGGTATTTGAGGTTAGTTTATTTTCTCCCTATTGGTGGGGAAGGGTTATATTAAATTCAGAGTTGTCCTCTATTCATATATATAGGGTAGCTGCAATATGAATTAACATGAAAAAAATCTGATTAGCATCAATAGAAAGTCTTCTCCTAATGGTAATTGTTTCATGAGTGGGTATGTGATATTTATTTAGATTGCATCCTGAATGAAAGAAACCTTGAGCTGTAATGTGAATGATGCTTCCACTCTGTGTTTGGATATTCATTCATTTATTTTTCAATAGCATCCTTTGTGGCTAGCTTAAAGGGGGCTGCAGAAAATGATACTGGGATTGCTCTTAAGGAAGAGATTAAAAAAACTGGGTGAGTAGAGAAAGTGATATGCTGAATACACTGGCTCAGAGCCAGTGATACAGAATAAGAGGAACGACCTTTAAAATAGAATTATACAGCCTTTATTGTTCCGAGGGCTGCACATTTTTTCCAATGTAACTGAGTTTTTAGTACGAAATGATGAAGACAATCAAAGAGTGATTAAATATGGAAGAGAAGGGAGGAAATCCCCCCTTTTTTTCCTCAAATAAGAAAATTGTTCCTTTAGCCAGCCAGTATGATGTTTTGCAAAATATATTAAGTACAGCAGATAGGAGTATAGTATAGGAGTATAGTGAATATAATAGAACATAGCATGTAACTTTTACTTGGTAGGATATGGTCAACGGATTGCAAGTTGCCTCAAGATTAAAATACTGGCTGGCATAGAATAGCCTGAACATGCCTAGAGTACAAATGAGCTAGGGTTATGCTAGTGGCTTACTGCCCAAAATATATTTGTAAGATGACAAGAATGGCTGGCTGAAAATGAGATGAGAGAGCATTCTTCTTACTGCTTCCCACTTCTTCTTCTTTTTCTTTTTTGTACTTTTCATAATACTGCTTACTGCCTGTGATAATATGATAGGTATGTTGGTATAAACATATGCATGCATGTTGTGACACAAATGATTTGCCCTGAAGTTTTAATTCACCTTGTGAATCCCTTTTCCAAATAGAAAGATAACATGACATATTTAAATTATTTATTAACCTGGAAAAAATATTGAAAAAAATTAAATTTCAGGAAAGAATCACATCCACATGCAAACACTTATTTAGTTCTCCCTTCTTACTGTAGCTTGAATCTCTTACTAACAGGAATGCCATGGACCAACAAAATGGATAAGCTGTCAAAGGGCAAAATCTGTATCTTTTTTTCTCCCTGTCCCAAAGGTGCTTTTTTCAAGAGGTAACTGGACTTTCTTGTTTTTTCTCTGAAGACATTTTGCTTTAAAGAAAAAGGGGGGGAAAAGGAGGGGGGAAGTCTAGTTGCCTCCTGAAAAAAGCACCTTTGGGACAACCATGACCTGGATGACTGAGAATCTCTACAGACTTTTAGCTATACAATTTGGGATGAACACCCTTTGAATGGCGTGTGAGTAGGAATGGATTTCCAGAGGAAAAAAATGTAGATTACAGGAGCCAGGAACACTACTCATGTGACCCCGAGGACACTGATAAACCTCCAAGTGCTTCAACAACCTTCTAAAAGGATGCAAATGATCAGCTGTCTGCAAGGAATATAAATCCTTCCATTCCCCAAGATCCTGTCAGAGCTGAAGAAGCTTCTTGGATGAGAAGCAAAATGTCTTCAAAGACATTTCTAGACTCTAGAAGTCCAGTTGCCTCCTGAAAAAAGCACCTTTGGGACAACCATGACTTGGATGACTGAGAATCTCTACAGACCTTTTTTCCACTGTTAGGCCAGTCAAGTATAGAAATTCAATAATAATAAAAAATAATAATAAAAAAAAATAAGTAGTAGATTTGTAGAATGTTTAATTTCAGCAGGACTTGAACTCACGGTCTGAAATGTCTGCAAGCAAACAAGCAAGTTTAGACAGAACCAAGTTCTATGTAGTTCA